GGTTTTCTGATGCCAAGGATGCCTGGATGAGAAGCTGACAGCCATATGTCCACAGCAGCAGATGGGATTATTGTTACTGGCAGATGGGACCACTCCACTAGGCCTATTTTTATTAAACATCCAATACCTTCAGCAGCCACAAAAGAACCTGCCAACATTACTGAAACCCAGAGACTACTGCTGAGCTAAAATCCCCACAGGTAAGGTTCAGGGCTCACGGGAGGATGCAGGGGCACTCAGCCCTCCCAGGGTAACCTGGGCTGTGCAGCTGCACCTTCCCACCGGTGTCCTTCATGGCAAAGCAGAACACACAACGATCACAGAGCAGCTCTGCTTTGAGCACCTCGGTTTGCTCTGTCACTTGCACACACAAGATGCTAAGGCCTATTTTCATTCACCTAGTGCACGATTAATTGCAACAGACACATTCCAGGTAGGGGACTTCCTTACTTCCTTGTTTCATTTGTTTCATGTTTTACACGTGTCTTTAGATTTTTAAAAGAATAAGCCTGCTGGGCTCTTTGCTAGTGATTAGTATCTAAATGCTGTCTTGTAGCTACTAGTTTGAATGTCTGCTTCAATTTCATTTGTTTTTATTTATTCATTATTTACACGCATTTACAGGCCAGATTATCAAATCACTTCCACAAAAAAAACACAAAACAAACAAACCAACCAACCAACAAACCAAACCAAAACAAAAAATCCCTCAAACAAACAAAAGCCAAACCAGAAAAAGCACAATGCTTGGGGAGTCTTCAGGCACAGAACAGCTTCTTTTTTCAGCTCAATAACCCAAGGCAGCAGCTGCCAACGTTGTTTATATTTGTTACATTTGAAAAGCCAGTACAAGAATGAGCACAAGAACTACTGACACACAAAACCCTCAGATCTATAGCTCAGCTTTCATGTATTACACTGCAGAAACTTTTTCCCACTCACTACAAAAACAGTCATAAATTAACTGGACAGGAATAAGTAATTAATACATTGTGGGCAAGATGCATTGGTGTGAACCTTTGTGAAAAAAAAACTGGAAAAAGCAGGAATTAAAGACAAAACATATTCAATCAAGATATGCAGAAAATCATTATCTATACTTTAACTATTAATTTTTAAAAGCCACTTGTGAGTTTGGCCATGATAAGTCACCTATTCAGTAATTTAAAGAATATACTCTTCAGAACAGAAGTCCAAATGAAAATATCCTTTCAGCCAACTGAATTCACTTGCTTAGCAGGTGCTTTTGAAAACAAAGTTTATGTTTCTTAGGACAATTTCTAAGTTATAATTTGAAAGGCTCAGGCCTTTTCTGAAATTAACCCCACTCAGTTACTGTTTTGATAGAGTTTTTTAATTACTAATTTGATGGTGACATTACCTCTTCTTTGGAAAGTATTGTGCGATCCCAAGTTAACATAAATAGCAGAATTTTACAGCTTCTAACTTGTCCTGTCTCAAGATTCCTCCATTACCTTCTCTTCCCCTACCCCCACTTCCCCCGTGTCCACTGAAGAACTTCAGGCAGCACCATTCAAATGGATCCCATCTGCAAATAGATATGATCCCAGCAGCACTGGCCTTCTGCCAGATTCCAGCCCCTTAATGCAGTCAGCACCCGTGACTCCAGCTCAACTGCAGAATCTCAGCTTTGAAACATGTCTTAAAGACATAAAGACTGACAATTTAAGTGTAAGATGCATAACAGTAGAACAGAAAAAAAAAAGACAAATAATATGTTCAAGTACCAATTTCAAAATTGCCATATTTTGCATCCTTCCAGAAGAAAAACGAAGTCCCAATTACTCACAGTAAGTGTCCTTAACATTATGGGTTAAAGATCTTAGTACAAATTCTCTTTTTCTGAGATTAAGACATATCTAGAACTGTGTTCAGCTGCATTGTCATTTTTAAACAGTGAGAAATGATAAAAACAGACCAACTATGGATCTTGATTAAAGGTCTTGATCTCCTAGGAGGAAATGACATTAAAGCCAGATAGGATAACAAGTAAATTCTGTAGGATTGCACAAGCAAATTAGGTTGTTTTGCTTCTGAGGCAAAGAACTGTGTAACAAAATTGAGCATAAGCTTTCTAACCCAGAGGGACGTTTTGCTTTGCTGGCAAGCACCCTATGAATGACAGGCAATCCCCAAAGCCATAAACAGCCAAATTCACAGAAAAACTGTCCAACAAAAGCAGCATGTCAGGCAACAACCCTGGTGGCATTCTGACTTCAAGAACCTACTTCATTATGTATGTCAAAAACCAGTCCTTTTTCACACATTCACCTAAAGTTATTTATAAAGTACACCTGTCATACACTTTATTATCTGTATCTTTATACAGTTTTCCTTAACATAATCCCGAGCACTTTGCCTCAGTTTCGCTGTAATGCAGTAGTCTCTGCCAATGCATTTACAAAACTCAGACTTGGACAAAGTTTAAATGTAGGAGCCACAAAGGATTTGCAGAATAGCTCGGTCAATCAATACATACAGAATTAAAGTTCAAGTAACTGTCAAAATCCCTTCTTAGCTATCAGACTTCACACTGTCTCATCAATCCGGTGTCACGACAGTCCATTAGGCTTTAATTCCAAGATAAGGGAACTTTAACTGCCTTGGAGGCTTAAAATAGTCACTACTCAGTGTATCACCATCCTCTCAGGTTTGCCTCCTGTCAACCTGATCAGTGCACAAGTGAAAAAATAACCTTCTCAGAGGCAAGATATCTAGACCTTGATCACTTCACTGGCACATCTGAAAGTGTGAAGCAGGAACCCCTTAGTCTAGAATTACTACTGAATTCCCTTTATTTTCAAATTGCTGCATCAGATATGAGTCTCAGATACACTAATTTCACTTTATGTGCTCAGCTTTTAGTCAGTAAGTTCAAACCTTAATAATGAGGAGCTCAATAATGTAACTGTGGAGCTGCAAAAAACTGAGCACAATGAAAATGAAAGAATCTTTGGCAGTACAGCACTTATGCTCCCCAAATCTAACACATAACCTAAAAGCATACCAGCTGAAGAATTTCAGCTGGAAGTTATGTGTGTCAGACAACTTGGTTAGGAAGATTCTTTGGAGAGAAGATTTCTGCTGGTTTTTCCCCCATTAAACAATGCCTTATTCATATACTTTATTATACAATCCTCTTCTGTTCAAACTACTCCTCTGTCCATTGCTTTCTTGTATTTCTCCTCTAAGAGGGAAATACAGGGAAAAAATATCCCACAGATTGTAACAATGTTTAACTATTGCAACTGGTGATTCCTTTCCACAGCCTGTAATGTCCTCCATGACTTAAACCCGACCATCTGTCACAGCACCCAGCTCCATCAGAGCCACAGCATTCAAATAAAAGGCTGCAGGTTAGAGCACTTCAGAGTCTAAAATACAGCAAAAGAAGTCATTTCTGTAAAGACATTTTCAATTAGATAAATCTGAAGTATTTTTCTCCTCTTGAAGACTGATACAGTTTCTTGGAAACGTGTCACTATAGTGCAGCTCTAGTGCTCAGAAACAGAACCAGTGTCTGGCCGGGCCACAGCCCCAGCTCAGACAAACAATCTCAAACAATCTGCCAGACACTGACTGGTCACCCTTGCTGCTTCCACAGGCTCCTGCAATTCAAGCACCTTAAGCATCTACAATTACTGCTGCGATGACTGCAGCAAGAAAAGCTGTTACAGGGTTCCCAGTGGTGCTGCTGGAGCCCAGAGCTTGGTGGCATTTCCATAACAAATGTCCTCTAATGAAGTCTACAGTTCTTGCATTCTACACTGGGGTCCAATGATGGGATACAAGCACCTGTTCTACATGAGATGACCTCAAACTCCTCCCACCCCTACCTCAAATGGAAATTTAGAAATCTGATCACAAAAAAAGCTTCTTTGGGTAGTACTGCACATAACGTCTGAAGATAAGAACTTTCTGCACCAAAAAACAAGCTCTCTTCTCTATGACACCTCTCTTCCAATGAAACCATAAACACTGTATCATTTAAGTGACCACAACCAGGATTTAAATTCCACTGCAGAAGCACAAGCAGGCTGACGTACAACCTTGGCTATAAAAAAAAAAAGGGAGAGGCCTGTATGAAACCTCCTTTGTGTTAACAGGCATGAGTAAACACTCAAGTAATCAGACAGCGAAATAACTCCGTGCTCTTGAGTGCTGCTTTCTACAGCTGCAGACAAGATGGCTCTACTTGATTACCTGACAATGAAAAACTGCCCCAAGAAGAGCAGTTTAGGGGCAGAGCTGCTGGGCTGCAGATGAGGAGTGACACTCCCTCAAATGCTGTCAATACTGCCTTAACCTCAAGTATGAAAAACAACCAACCCAACAACCAAAAAAGGTGTGCCCCCACACAGTTTCCCACAGAACAGTGCTCTCCAAATTACACTCACAACAATTATACAGGAAGCTTAACACTTCTAATTAGTTAGAAAAGATGATTTTACGTAGTCTGTTATTTTGCTGTCGTTTAGACATCTGCTCTGGAAAGCATAAAACTTGATATCCTTTTTATCTCAGCTTTCTCATCCAAATTATGTTCTTGACCAAAAGCACATACCACAGAACAAGCACACCAACAACTAAAGCACCAGATCCAAGCAGGACTTATACCCCACAATTATCATGTGGTGGTGTGCAATGTATCCCTCTGTCTACCCACATGATATTCCCAAACACTGAAGTTCACAAAAACGTTTTCACTTTGGTACTCCAATCCTTCTGTACAATTTTCAAAGCAGCAGAAGCAAACACCATGAACAACTCCATAAAAATCCAGATACTTGTGATTTAGACTTTCTAGTCACATTCAGAGATAATCTAGTTTGTAATGACAGCCTCAGAAGAGCAGAATAACAGAAAGATTAATTCTAGATGATACAATGTACACAGTTCTCAGTCTGACAGAAGAAAATATTTAACTCGGAAGTTTGGGAACAGTGAAAGACTCCCTTACAAGATTAAAATAAACTTACTGGTTGAATTGCCTTGCATCTGGATGATGCATTTGGACTCCTTGCTGGTTTCTCGGGAATTGAAGGGCCGGACCCGAACAGCCACCTTCACTGAAGCCCCCGACATCCTGGCTGCTGGTAGTACACTCAAGGAACTGAAAGTGATCAAGAGCCTTCCAAGTTATCCTTCCTGTTGGCGTTTTCTAAGGAGAAAAATACCATTTAGTTATTTACAGCTATTGTATTCAAGTTGTTGATAAAATTAGGGAGGTTCAAAGTTACTTCATAATGCAATTTCTGCTTTGCAGATCACCCTCCCTTACCCCCAAAAGATGCCACTTCAAAGCCAGAACTGGAAATACACTTATCAGCACCTGTTCACTGTCTCCCTAGTCAAAAGTTTCTGTCACTTGAAGCAGTTCTTTTGAAGTGTACAAATATTTGGTTTTCATACAATTTCATACATTTATTTTCTGGAAGAAAACCAACACTTGGTTTTCTTCCAGAAAGTAAGGATGCCAATACCAAAATAAATATCTAGTTACAACATGTGTTAGGCTTAACCTAACAAAGATAATTTTAGCAGTAAAGACACAGCTACTTAAATTTCATCATGAGGCAATGACCATGTACCCCATACTCAGGCTCTCACACTGCCAATCCTTGCTGCCACAATGCTTTAGCAATAATATTAAAACTAACTCAAGTGTCATGGGCCACAGCACACTGACTTTCAATACATATGACTCCAGAGAAAAGGGTGTACCCTTAAAGAACCCCTTGCAGTCCTGGGAAAGTCCTCTTCTGGAAGGAAATAACAACTCATCAACTACTTGTATATCTACTGATTAAAGGACACACTGTAAGGAAGAGGAGGAATCAAGAATTGTTGCCTTCAGGGTAAATATTACTATCTATGTTCAGACAAATGTCCACCATTAAATTCATCTCCATTAGCAAAATACTTGTTCAAATCCTACCACATCTAAATGATGGAGCACTTTCGTTGCAGGGAACTATCCCTGACACCCACTATCTGAACTTCAAGGCATGTCTGAGACAGTGTTGGAAGGCAGGGTTACAAAAGATTGGTTTGCTTGTATTGGTGTCAACCAGCCCTTTCCATCAGAGAAGGGTTTTCAGTTGGTGCACTACTGAGAAGTCCTGCCACAGGACACAGTAAGTACAGAAGTCTAACAGCCTCAAAAAGCAACAAGATTCAAAGAATAAGTCCTACTAAGAATCTCCTACCCTTGGCTAGGAAAGCTTCCATGGCACAGACACAAAGAACCTGGATGACTATAGTGAGAAAACATTATTTATGTTTGATTTATCCTTATATCCTAAATATCTGCTACAGCCACTGCTGAAGAGAGGATTCAGAGCTGGACTGATCCTTGGTCTGACTCAACACAGGCATTTCTATCTGGAACCTGACTAACCTGGGCAGAACTCAACTCTGCTCAACCATGCACCCAGGAATCCTGACATCTTCTCTGGTTATCAACATACCGTGTATCTGGTGAAATGCTCACTTCAGGGTTGTGATCACAGAAGTACAAAAATTACTAGCAGGTCTAAAGCAGAAGCATTTCAGCTCTAAAGTAAGTTCCACACTTGGTAAAAGTATTTATACATGCTTAATCCAAGTTATGACACATTTTCCCACAGTACAAGAAGTCTTTAATAAAACTGCAGTACTTCATTAATGCCATCACATGGTGAAGGCAGAAATTAAATTACTCCCCCAAGTAGAAGCAATTTAAAGTATTCCTTATTTTCACAGGTACCTGAGGTATCTCATCAGACTAGAAGAATGTCTTTAGGAGCAAGCCAACTGAATCTCAATGTCATTGGTCCAGCAAACTGGCTGAGCAATGATTAATGACACAGCCACACCACCAGCTCGGGGTTAGTATGGAATTTCAAAAAGCTTCACTAAAATCCTGAACATAGACCAGAAAAGGTCTGGGAACGAATTCACATGATGTTCTGGGGTGTTCTAGAGACGGCTTCTGTCCCTCTTGCTCAGAGGCGCCTACTTTTGTGTGGAACAAAGTATCAAACACACAGCTTCATTATCGACTTCTGCCCCCAGAATCCGCCCCGTGGCTTCTGGCTCTCCTCCCTCCCAGGCCCCCAGCACAAGTCCCGGAGCCCTCCCAGCACAGCCAGGGGACCAGACTCATCCCCACACACCCAGGGCTGTTACTGAACTGACCCTGGACACCGCTGTCAGAACAGCAATGTCACTGTGCACGGCCACGCAGCCCGTTCAGGAAACACTGCTTAATCATGTCAGGTGCAAAACGTCCCTTTCTGTCAAGTTCATAGTGACACCATGTACTTTGTCCCATGTGTTCTTATAATATTGTTTATGAAATGTAGGGGGTTTGTCTTCCCTTCTTACTGTGGGGTCCCACAAAGAATTTTTTTCTGATGTTTTCATAAAAATACCTCTCAGAACACTGCACTAATCTCTGCAGATATATCTGGGAAGCTGACAAACAGAGTGGGATGAAAGAATCATCTACTTTTATATATAAATATATATATACATATATATATATGTATATGTTCTCAAGTATTATTATCATATTCACAATAAGCATGAAAATCACATTTCCAGAGACTCCATATGCACTAACTAAATGACAGACTTGTTTGAAACACAGCTGTTAAGAGATTCTCACAGAACAGATCACAAAATCACCTGCAACATGAAAATTTACCTGCTGGACTTCTGCAGTTACCAATTTTCCCCAACCCTAACTTTTGTGCTGACGGAAAATTAAATGTGGTATAATTTAAAATCTCTTTTGTTCTCAACTCTGCTATTTTTCATAGCTGAAGTAAGCAAAACACCTACTCGTATTTCCACATGGATTTCAGATGTTTTGAATATCAATTCACTATGCAAGATTTAATTTTCATTAGTAAGAAAATTGACCAAAACCAATACAATTTGCCAAGCTTTCCATACATTTAAGGTGTTGGGGGTTTGAGGGGCTTTTCCACTTACCAGTTATCTTAACTGGCCGTAATAATTTATAAAGGTAGCATTGCCCTCATCACACAGAATGGTAAAATAAGGGAAAATGAGCCCCAAGTCACACAGCATCACAGATAATAAACTGCAACTGGTTTTTCAGGGTTCACATCTACCAGTAGTGCCACCTCCCACTACAAAATGCTGACTACAGAGTGGAAACTTGAAAAGAGAAAACCAAAATATGCAGTTTGTGGTACAGATTTAGAAGAACAATATTCTCAAAAGACGACTTTTTTTAATGTTCATTATAGGCTCAGAAGGCTGCCATCCATGCTAGAATGAATCATCTCCCTCATGCCTTGGAAGGAATCTACTAGCTGTGTCTCTTGCAATGCTCAGTCTGCACAAATCCAGTCGTGAACCGAGAAGGGAACTGCGTGTGTGTCTTTGAGGCGATCTGCCACTGGCTCCAAACAGGTGGCAGATGACATTTGAGTTGTTTGGTGAGCTTCATCAGCAAAGAGCAACTCCTACATCCTAGTTTTACACCTATGTGAAACCCTGTAAGTCACACAGTGAGGTTTTAATATTAAAAGGTGTCATTAAAAGAAATAAACGAAATATCTTGTCTGTTTACTGGTATTCAAGCTGACAAACCCAATTGTGTTGATGAATCACCCTTCACAGGCTCAACGAGATCTGGGCTTTCACAAAAATATATGAATTAACATTAAGACTTGAATACTTGGACATATCTGAACGTTTTGGCAAACCAGTTTTTCTGCAATGTCAAAATACAAACACATTGCTATTTATTTAAGTAAAGTTACAAGCAGAGCAGGGATTTAGATTCAAATTATTATTTATACATGCAGAGAACTCTGCAACAAGCTTGAAGTGGTTACAAAACAATGTTCAAAATCTAAATCTCAGCATTCAACAAAAAAACCCACCCAAACCCGCCACATACCACAAATAAAGAAGAATCACTTTTTATTTAAGAGAACAAGTCATATACCAGATAACTGTGTCATATCTGCATTTCACAGAATGTGCTAACTTTGAAACAAAAAAATGGCTTGTAACTTAATCAGTGCAAGAGCTCTAAAGAAATAAAACAAGGACAGAGATTAGCACACGGAAAGTTGGCAAAACAGCTGTTAGGGGCAGCAGGCGTATCTGAACAAGGGGCCCCAGCAGAGCCAATTTTAGGTGCCGCATGAAGCTCGGGCAGCGCTGACAGTGTGATCCCTCAGCTGAACTCACACACACGCTCTGCTATATCTGGACCAGGTGGAGATGCCAGATCGAACAGTGCCGCAGAACTTGGCGAGGCACCGAAACCTGATCACATGCACACATGGCTATTTACCAACACTGGATTGTGCAACAGCAAGAAGAACTGAGCTACGAAGGAGCTGCAAGCGAAGAGGAATACCGTTCAGAATTCCGAATTCGGTATGAACGTATTTACATTCCGGAAAGCAGACATAAATCCATCTGCTTCTGGCGGATTCTCCAGCGCGGGCGATGCCCCCGCTGCGGCGATGGCCCCGAGCGCCGGGCCCGCTCCGCCGCCCCCCGCCCGGGCACGGGCACTGCCGCCTCATGCTGCCAACATGGCTGCCCGAGCCGAGCCGAGCCGAGCCGGGCCGAGCCGACCCGGGCCGAGCCGAGCCGGGCCGAGCCGGGCCGGGCCCAGCGCGCCGGGAGCCCTCTGCCGCACTCCGCACCGCCTCCCGGGCCAGCGCCCGCCGCCCCCGCCCCATCCGACCGCAAAGGGGACAAGGGCGGCGGAACGCGGCACGGCGGGCGGCATCCCGCCGATGGGAAAGCCGGGGAGCGGCCGCCCGGGGAAAAAGGAAGGAGGGAGAGGAAGGGAAGGAAGAAAGGGAAGCGTCCCGGGGGACGAGGAGATGGCATCGGGCAGATGGCAAGGCCGAGCGGGGCCCCACGCCCTTGCGCCGCTGCCCTGACAGCTCCAGGGTATCCAGTGCTATGCATCCATCCATCCATCCATCCATCCATCCATCCGTCTGTCCGTCCGTCCATCTGTCCGTCCATCCCCCCCGCTCCCGGCCCCAGCCCTCGGCGGGGCCCCACAGATGCGCACGGCAGCATCGCCGCCTCCCCCTCCGCATTACGGCATCAGCCCCTCACCCCCGCCCCGCTCCGGCCCCCGCCGGCGCGGAGCCCCCTCAGCGCGGAGCCCCCTTAAAAACGTAATTTCAGCGCGGCGCCCTCAGCGGAGCCCTCACAGCGCGGCCCGCTCACCTGGCGCGGGGTGTCCGCGGGACCCGGGCGGTGCGGCGTCAGCAGCCGGCGGGGCAGCGCAGCGACAAAAACCCGGCCATCCCCATCGCCGCCTCCACCGAGGCCTGGAGACCCCCCCGCTGCCGGGAACGGAGCGGGAAGGGCGAGGGAGGGAACGGAGGGAGGGGAGAAGGGGAGGGAGGAGAGCGAGGCCGGCCGGGAGGAACGGGCGCCGCGCTCGCCCCAGCGCCGCTCCCGCACTGCCGGAGCGCGGGGGGAGCGCCCGCCCCGCGGGGGGAGCGCCCCGCTCCGCCAATCGCCGCGAGCCGTCCCGCCCCCTCGGCACAATCCGCCAATGGCGCTCCGCGGAGCCCGCGTGTGCCCGCCCCCGCCCTGTCAATCACGGCCGGCCGCGCCGCCAGCGCCGCCTGGCGGTGCCCGGCCGCAGCGGCACCGCCCTCCGACCGGAACCCTCCGCCGCGCAGCGGGGGCGAGGGGAGGCGGCCCCTCGCCAGCTCCAGCCAATCAGAACCCGCGATACAAATCACGTCTGCGCCCTCGGAGCCTATTGGGAGCGGGGCCGCAGCACCGCCCGCCGCGCTGTGTCCGTGCGCGCCCCGAGCCGTGAGGGGCGGCGGGTCCCGAGCGCGGGGTGCGGGTAAACGGGATAAAACCGGCCGGGACACCGCGGGGGTGCGGGAAAACGGGATAAAACCGGCCGGGACACCGCGGGGGTGCGGGAATACGGGATAAAACCGGCTGTGGGGACGCGCTCTCTGAGGCAGCGAATTCCCCAGCTCCCGACTCGCCGAGATCCGGTGGGATTTGGATCCCAAACTCGGCCTGAGGGCGATAGCTCAGAGGAGAGGGGTTGGTAATCCTCCCTCCCTCCCTTCAGAACGTTCCTTGAGCAGCCCGAGTAATTTTTTTAGACCTCATAATGTATTTTGAGGCAAATGATTAAATTTAGTCCATGATGCTGTATTAACCCTCATGCTTTCAATAATTCCATGCGTATTCTCATAGGAAATTTATATTTTTGTGGCAATAATTCAGCTTGAACTTCCTCCTTATCATTAGTAATTTGGTAATTCCTGCTGTTAGAAACTGGTTCATGTTTAAGCTTCTAAGCACCTTAAAGGAAATCACTTTACATGAAATGCCCTCATTACATATGTTTCTTACACCATCGCATACAAATTGGATTTGAGATGTTGAGAACATTCAGGACCTGAGATTTCTGGTTTCAGAACAAGGTTTATTTTTGTTCACAGCCTCCTGGCTATTGGCTATGTTAACCTCAGCCGTGTCCCTTCTGTTCCCCTTACGGAGTTATTTTTTACTTTGTGTGGTGAAGGTGACTATTTCCCCTTGCCAGTCTCATGTGCAGTTACGGCAACAGAGGCAGCAGCCCAACAGTCCATGGCTGAACAGGAGGCTTAGGGGAATACTGCCACAGAAACAACAAATCAAACATCGGGGACTTTCCTGGGTCCTAAAAATTACATTATTTGAGCTTGAATACTTCTAGTGACGGGACAGATGATTTAACGGTGGTTCTAGGGTAACTGTGCTAACTCCTGCCTAGATCTGTGGAGAGTTATGTCAGCCGTTCTCTGAAAAGGGCAGGAACCCCTCAGAAATGCTCGAAGCGGTTGTCAAGGCGCGCTGCCCGGACGCGGGTGCGCGCTGTGAGCGGGGCAGCCGGCACCGGGCCCGCTGTGCGCCGTGCCCGGGGAGCGCCGCTCCTGCTCAGCCCACAGAGCCCCGAAACCATCGCTGCCAGCAGCCGCAGGATGCCCGTCCTCCATGGAAAAGCGGGCACCAATGCAGCAGCTTGTTGCAGTTACTGTGCAGGGGAAATGGGTTTCCCGGGGCTGAGGCACGGCCCTGGAGCGGGAAGCAGCGCAGGAGGCGCGCCGGGACTGCCGCAGGTCCTGCCTGCCGGCCTGCTGTTACCGCCTCGGCCGTGCCCTGCCAGCAGGGGAGAGCTGACAGACATGGAAATTGGGCCATTGCATAAGTATGAATTGCGATACAATAGAATCAATTGTCCTGGATTGTACTGCTGCAGCATCAGCGCTCGCCCCAGGAACTGCTCCAGTCTCTGGTGCAGAGCTGCAGGACCAGGAGAGAGCAGCGACCCACGGTGAACCGCAAGGAAAGCTCACTTTGTAAGGGCAGGTGGGTTAGCCGTGCTGGGTGAACCGTTCCCAGCTCAGACATTTACAGTCTGCACACACTGGACGTGTCAAACCCAAATCCCTCCACTGATAGTTTACAAACTCTGTATTGCAGTGAGGTTACAGTTGGATTGAAAAAGGTAAATGACGTACTAGAGAGGGGAAGGGAAATCACCAAAAACTGCAGGAAGCATTTAATTAACTAAACTAAGAATTGTCACACAACCCATATGCTTTTGTGGGAAACTGATTTTCAATTCAGCTTCAGCTTTGCTTTTCAGGCACTCAGATGTCCACTACCCACTGAAAGAAGGGGTTTCATTCACTTTTGTGGCCAGACACAATAGAACAGCACTCCAGCAGCCTGTATTAAAATACATTTAATTATTCTGCTCACAAATGCAGAATTTGGGTGAACACTTGTCTGAGCTCACACCTTTAAAACACTTGATACTAGTTGCCCAGATAAAATTGTTTTGGCCACTTATGTCAAGCCTTTGTGTCTTGTGCAATATCTGCATTGACATGTTTTCAAATGATAGATGTATGCCATAATTAGACAAAACATTTCAGTAATGCACTTTGCTATTTATATTCCTCAGGTCAGAGTCTGACACAATGGCAGAATAAATATAAATTCAGATTCTGAAGGGCATTGTGTTGATTAAAACATCCCACACCAAAACATGAATATTTCTGTTTCCTCCTGGCAAAACCCAAAACTATAAAACTTTCACTTTATAATCTATCAATAGAAGCAATATGTGACAGTGACTTGCAGAAAAGAACCCAAAACGTGAAGCCATAGTTTAATCATCCTCCAGTAAAAACACATTCACTACTGAACAGCTGTCCTTCATCAAAAACAAGTATAAACTCTGGGGTGGTCCTAGAGATTTCATGCAAAAATCCTCAATAATGAGGGAACAGTTACATGTAAGAATTTTTCTTTATATAGAAAGAAACTACCTTTTTTAAAAAACTAAAAAACTAAAGAAAACACACAGCTCAGCACGACCTGTGACACGTCAGAATCTGTGCTGGGTTTGGTGCTTGGCTGGGAGCCTGCAGGAAAGAGCAGAGCAGGCTTTGGTCTGTGCCTTACTGAAGGGATTTGAATTTGTGGAAGCAGTAAAGGTTAGAACCATAAAAGCCACAAACAGCTTCTCTGTTGCAGCAGTCAATGCAGACAGCAGCTTTGGAATCTTCTCCCATCCTTGCAGAGAAGAAATGCACATTCATGCTGTAAGAGGAAGCACCACTGGAAAACCCACAACAAAGAAAGAATACAGCCCACAACTGCACCTTCACATTTTATAATTTAGAATTATTTGCACACCTAAGAGGTGCATGCTGGAGTCTGTACAAACTCAGCAGAATTCCCCCTGGAATTCCTCCTGTCAGGGAGCTCTGAAGGGGTCCTCAGTGGCACCTGCGTGGGAACATTCTTGAGTTTAAAGGATTACTGATACCTGTGTGCACAGAGATTGTCCACATAATTTACTAGGTTATCCTAAATCACTATCAGCAAACCTGAACAAAGACACCCAATCTTTTGTCATTTTTGTATTTTCACTGACACTCTTACAAGAAGGACCAAGGAAACATTCTGTGCGAGTGTATCATTTATTGTAGTTCAAGAGAGTCAGGAATTGAACAGAAGACATGGCGAAAAACAAATAAAAGAAAACAACCTTTTTTTTTCCAACTTAATTTTAAAACACTGTGGTTTCAAATCCTTTTTAAAAAGGAAATTCAAGTATCATATGCAGGGGGCAGTAATATAAAAATGTTTGTGAGTATTTTTTTTTTTTTTAAAAACGTAATTCTACATTTCCTGCACCCTTTCTGCTTTGGTAAGGCCAAGCCATGGATACAAATTGGTGAGCAACATAAAAAATGACCCCTGCCCCAAACTGCAGCCTCCAAGGATAAAAGTATCTGCTCTCTGCGGACAAGCTCCAATGGCTCAGAACTGTCAGTTAGCATTGATCTGCAGCATTGAAAGAATGTATTTTAGTTTCTTTAAAGTCACTGAAATCCTGGTATTCCCAAGCATCTCATTCATGGCAGCTGTTTTAACATATTTCTATCTCAAGGCTTTTCACAAGTACCAGAGCATCTTGATCAACACAAAGGAAAGGGACATCTCAAGGAAAGGAAATTAAAATCCACGTGTGAAGTCTTCGCTTTTTTGAAATTATCCTTGTGTCTAACACCAATTAAAAACCAAATAGGCAAATATGTGTAATATAAAAATACGATCCCAAGATGAACACTTTGTTGCAGGCACAGTTATCGCACAAAATATGTTCTTTTGAGGGCAGGGGAATGATTTCTGATTTTCACAGGGTTTGTATTTTTTTGCATTACAGAAGAAAAAGACAGCAGTGCAGGTTTGATGGGTGGAACAGAAAGAAAGGAAGGGAAAGAGAAAAAAGTTACTTTAGCAGCAAAATGTCCAAGGTTCTAACCACAATCAAATTAACGGATATCTGGCGGTAAAAAACAAGGTTGAAGGGATGCTGCCCTGATCCATTCGTCTTTGCTAAAACAATTCAGCTGTAAAAACCCCAAAATGTGACATACTGAAGGACAGTTTTGTAACATAAGTAACTTCCTAGCTTGTCCTCCATGTTATTGACCATCGTTATCACTTAAATATATGTACAAGAATGAAGCTGCTTTCTCCTCATCCACATGCTCCTGTGGTCACCGCTGAAGGTCAGTGCCTGGGCGTGCCAATCCACCAACAGCTCCAAGGGCGTCTGCTGCCCTCCTGCACAAAGCCCACGCCCTGCTCTCCCAGGGCTGGGGGCCTGCACTGCAAGGGAACTTTAATGGTCATTCTGCTTGTCTCTCATCCAGGCTTGGATCTGCTCTTTCAGTTCTGGCACTAGGAAGGTTAAAAAAAAAAAAAAAAAAGAGAAAAAAGAATGATTAAATACTTGGTAATAGTACTGTAAGACAGTCCCTCACGCCCAATAGCTATTTCCCATTTGTACACCACAATGTTTTTCAGCCCAGTAGTTAAGAAAGCAAGGGTGGGAGGGCTTTTTCCCCCTGGAAAAAGGAAAAGCAGAGGGAATGAACCTTTCTGTGCAAGCTGAAATGCAAGAACTGTTACCTCTAGGGAGGCCTCAGCACTGTGCTGTCAAGGTCAGGCCTGCCCCCACCCACACTGCAGGTGGGCACCAGCTGTCCCCCGGTACCTGGCTCCAGCATGTTCTCCGTCAGCGTCTGCCGGTTGAAAGGATCAGTGGAGGAGTTCAGCAGGTGCCTCAGGATGATGGACCTGTCCATGATGGTTCCGGAGGGCAGCCTCACGGGGTCGGTCATCAGCGTGTCCATCAGTGGATCTGAGGGCACAAGGGTCTCCTCAGTAAAGTGAGCAAACAGCTGCAAACGTTAGCTGCCCATCGACCCACAGTGCACAACCATGCTCAGGGTCCCCAGGACACTGCTGGAGTTACAGAAAATGGTTACATGCACAAAAATCTTTACAGCACTTTCTCCTTTCTGACCTGGGACTAAGCTTTCCCTATTGTCACCCTATTTTCAGTTGGGGGGGGTTTACT